TCAATGTTACGTGATTCTTAATAGCCTCTCCTGAGAGGAGCTGGAAGCAGAGGGAGAGCTAAGAAAATTATATTACAAAATGCTACAATCAATGACGTGCAAAGGAGTGGAGAAGAGATAGCCAGCTTCTCCTTCTCCCACCGGAGCCTCCCAGGTGGCACCAGTTCCCCGGCTCAGGCAGCTCAACCACAGCTATAATTCAGTGTGAGTCAAAAATGTTATTTCGGCAGGAAAAGCTGAAGCAGCAGAGGGCTTCTTGTCACTGTCTCTGGACAAGCCCAGGAGAGGCAGAAATGGTTTGTTTAATGCCGCCTCTCATTATTCCTGGCATTTTATGACTCATTAAGTGTCCTAGTTTTGTAACTAACTCCTGCTGAGCTCAACATTTGATACACATTTATGGGTGGCCTGTTGGCTGTAATAACGATTGAACTATTCGTAATTCTCCTAACCATGTTAACTCATTCCTTTGCGTGCCAGGCTTCCTTTAAACAACTGTGAGATAAAGATACTGGGGACTTCAGTTCTTAACACAGAACAAATTACATTTATCCAGACAATTTACTAACATAGCTATATGCTGCAATTTGACACGCTTGTTCTGAGCCCAGAAAAACAGTGTCCTAACAGTGTCCTACGGTGTCCTAACACCTTTTACACTGCTCCCCTCCTGTATCTACTACACTTTTAACCATGGATGTATCCATGCAGACGGATGCCTGATACCAATGCCCCTCAGAAGAAGGTCAGCAGCACACACATTAGTATTCATTCACCTGTATGGAACAGGAACAGGAGCCAAATGACCCTTCTTGTCCATTATAGGTGGGAATTAGAAGCAAGGGACCTCTCTTCAGGAACATTCTTGTGACATGAGTGATCTTCTCAGCTTCTCCCCTGTTCTCCAGCTTGCTTTCTTTGCAAAAGGTCAGTGAGAATTCAAAACAGATCCCAGCAACATGTTGACCCAGCCTGACAACTGATGCAAACAGGGCAACTGCAAGCACTCACCACAAGTTTGACAGACACAAGTATTTTTTGAGATGACAGCACATTTAACCTCTCTATTCTGAAAGCATAATGCACGAACACCTCAGAGATAGGTAGACAGGTCTGTGATTTAGGTTAATTTTTCGTTTATTCACCTGAAGCCTAGAGTCACTTAGCCTGGCCGCTCTGAGAGGATGTGACTTTGTGTACGCAGTCAAACAAATACAGTCTGTGTATATTTCAGAGCATGATGGAAAAGTCACCAACAAAATCACACAGGTCTAAAATGAAGGTCAGTAACTTGGGTTACTGTAACCTCAAGGTGGAAATTATTTGCAGCTTCAACTAACAAGTCTGTCATAGAAGTGTGCCTGATTTCAGACTAGTTTGGATAAGAACACTCTCAGAAATTCAGCAGTGTGTAGGACAGTATTCAAGATGACTTTGTACTGTGTCTTGCTGGGATGGAGTTAACCTTCTTCACAGCAGCCTGTATGGTGCCATGCATCGCATCTGTGCCTGAAATAGCACTGGTAACACACCAGTGTTTTGGCTATTCCTGAGCAGTGCTTGCTCAAGGCTTTCTCTCCGACACCCCACCACCAACTTTAATGGTTTGTAGGCTAGAGGTGGTCAACAGGTTGGGAGATGAAAAAAACGTGGATGAGGGGAGGGCATCTGTGGTGATGTCATTTGTCTTCCCAAGCAACCACTATACATCCCGAGGCCCTGATTGCCAAAAAGTAGCTAGACACCTGCCTGCTGATGGGATGTAGCGAATTAATTCCTCTTTTTGCTTTGCTTCTGTATGCACCTTTTGCTTTTCTTAATAATTGTACTTATCTCAACCCATGAGTTTTTCCATGTCGTCTTCTTCCCCAGTCCTTTCGAAGAAGATGAGTGAGAGAGCAGATGGGTGGGCCTCTGGCAGCCAGTCAAGGTCAACTCTCCACAGGGTTCTGGACAAACATTAACTTTTTTGACTGGTTTTTCCATTTTGGTTACTGATGACCACAAAGAAAACAGATGATGTAAACTTCAAAGGCATTTTCATTTGAAAATCGTCAATTTGATTCAATACTGCCAACCTTAAACATTCAATAATAACTGGCCCTGATTAAAAAGAAGAAAAACACTTGGGGTCTTACCTTTTATCTCACAGTGTTTTAGACCACAAGAACGTGGGTTTATGACCTACATATTCTAGTTCAAGCCTCTGTTACCCTGCTGAGAGTGGCCCCACTCTCATTAGTGCCTGTTTTATATTCCTGCTGCCTGTCTTAGTTCAACACTAGCAGTCAGGAGGAGAGTCAAATGAACTTCATGATCTGGCCAGCAAAAACATCTTTTGTTTCAAAGGTGGTTTGCAGTAGCAGCACTTCAGTCTGCCACAGGGTGACCCAGAAGGAGCAGATGATGCAGAAGTTCTGCACAGGAGTCCAGTTTGTCACCGCAGCATTTCTCACTGTGTGCAGCAGTTCCTGTCAGCAGGAAAAAAAAAGTAATCAGTGATTTCAGTCAAGTGCTTTGACTGCAGTATTTTTGTCTTTCTCCTGCATTGCATTATGCAAGGTTTAGACCCTTCTTATCAGTGTCTCAGGCTTTTGCTGTATGATTGAGTTATAAAGACATGGCTGTTATGAAATGAAGATAATGCACAAAATCACATCTGGAAGACTGAAAACAACAAATTGCAATACACAGGCTTGAGTGTCAGAGAGTACACTTCTCTGGAAAGGATTTAGTTATTTTCTTACCCCATAAATCAAGTGGCATCTCTCAGAAAAGACTCCCTGTGGGGAACTTGATCCTTTGGGAGGGAGGATAAGTTAGTGATTAGAGATGAAATGCAAAGGTGTTTTCAGCATAGCGGCTGGCTGTGCGATTTTCTAATACAGTACATTACGTTGTTAATGGAAATGTAGCTTTGCACCTTCTGTTTTTCTCCCAGTAGAATTAATTTCAGCACTCTTTGCATGCCAAGCATGCACACTCACAGCTGTGAGCTTCAGGGAGAGGAAGAAGGCACAGCTTGGACCTGAACAGATAAGATCACAAAGTCTGCAACAGGGCTGGAAGCTGAACCCGCTGCTTTTGCCAAGTGACTTCACCACACGACCATCTTTGCTTCTGACCACAGGAACTGCCCCACAGCATTACAGACAGACCTCAGGAGCCAGCAGACTGGGGGAAAAGCACCTGGCAGTTTCGAAGTCCCTTGGGAGATCTGCAGGGACAGTTTTCTGCTCCACTCTATGATGCAGCAAAGAGGGGAAAAACACCCATCATTTCCCACAGAGCAGCTCTCCCTTCCCAGTACAGTAATCGTGCCTACACCCCTGTTCCTGCCAGGAATCTCTCTGTTTCAAGGCTGCATGTGTCATTTATTAAGGAATAAAAAAGAGGAGGGAGGAACAGATTTTAAAGAAGCAGGCTTGCATGGGCAGGGAAACACAGGCTGCCAAGTCTTTGGGAACCCTCAGAGATGAAAGTACCACAGGCGTGCCACATGGCAGTGCTGCTGGTATATGTACTGTGCTGCTAGAGTGGCTCTCCACGTGCCCGTTAATGGAGAGTGACAAACGTGGTGCTGTGGACACTGAGCTCACTAAATCCAATGGTCACAAAATGGGAAAGTAAAGGGAGTAAATTGTTCTGTGCAAGAGGAGCCACTGTCCCAAGCTGAAAGCCCCAGGGAAAGCAAAAAGCAACAGGGCGTATAAGTACCTCCTTGGGAGGTGACTGTGAAGGAAACAGCTCGGATTTCACTTGAATTCGCAGCCACATGTTTGTGAAGAAAATGAGGGTGGAAAAGCTGGAGAAACACCAGGACAGAATTTCCAAGAGGACTGCAGGCCTGTACTTGAGAGAGGGAAAAGTACCTGCTGCTATGGGGGTGTGCTCAAGGTACACAAACCGCAGGGATATCCAACCTGTATTTAATCCTGCTGGAAGCAAGACACAAAGCCCCAGCTCCCAATTAGCTGCTCAGACCAAAAGATCATCTGTTTTCCAAGTGCTTTGGTAAATGAAGAGTGAAATCGTAAGATGCAAGGCAGAGCTTCTGGTCTATTATTGTGGTGCCAAAGCACAATATCTTAAATAAAGTCAGCAATAATATTTTTTTGTGTTTGTTTAGGAGCAAACTGTAATCCCTCATCCAACATTACCCAAGTCTGTAGAGTTCTCCCCGGTGTAAATGAGGCCATAACTATATAAACACAGCCATTAACTTACTCGATTCCAATCAGCATAACTGCTATCATTGCTCAGTATACCAAAAGAGGAAAAAAACAGCATAAAACTTGTCTACTGGCAAGTTTTTTTCCAGAAGGACAACTTGCGTCTATTTTTTAATCTCTGGAGAACAGAGCTCTTAATACCAGCAAGACAGACACTTCCTAAACTCAAAACCTTCGGGCCAGAGCTTGCTTTCTTCACCTCATGTTCATCAGCAGAGGGTGATTTGTGAACCTGTCAGTTAAAGTTTATCAGGGCGGTGAGTCACCTCCAAATAATCCCAAAGGTTATCTGGCAGTTTATCCAACCAGCCTGGCCTCGGTTGAAGAATCAAAGAGACGATTTGAAGCTGAAAGCCATTAACAGCAGGATTTTGCAACTTCCAGCCCGCCTGTGACACGCCACTGACGTAATACCGGATATTTTCTTTAAACGTGGATGGCGTAGGGCTGCGAAAGGTAACGCAGCAGTGGCCGCCCCGTTACTCCCTGGGCACGCAACACAGTCGGCAGCAGGACAACCCCTCACACCTCCTCAGCTCCGCCCGGGAGCTCCTTTCTCTTTCCCAGGGGAGAGGCCATTCCACCTCCCGGGCACTGAGGTCACCACAGGCACCGCGCCCCCCCCCCCACCCCCCCCCCCCCTCACCTTCCCTGCACGCGCCCGCCCCTCAGCGAAGCGCGAGCCCCGCCCCCGCTGCGGGCGGGTGGGGGACGCTGCTCCCGCCTCTCGCGGCGCAGCGCGGGCCGGCAGGGGGCGCGGCGGCGGCGCGAGCCCGGCCCCCGCCCCTCCTCCCGCGGCCGCGCGCCGTCAGCGCGTCGCGGTGCCGGGCCCCCAAGATGGCGCCGGGGCCGCAGCCCACCGCCGCCGAGCTGTACCGGCCCAACCAGTACGTCTCGCTGCCGGCCGAGCTCGACCCCCACGCCTACGACGCGTCGCCGGAGAAGCGCCGTGCCGAGGCCGAGCGCTTGGCTATCCGCGCCCGGCTGAAGCGGCAGTACCAGCTGCAGCTCAACAACCCGAACCCACCGGTCGTCATCGTGAGTGGGGGGGGGGTGGGTGGGTGGTGTGTGGGGGGGGTGTGTGTGTGTGAAACACGGAAACGCGGGGCTTGTCCACCTCACCCGGCGTCCCGGAGGGAGCGGGGCCTGGGGCCGAGGCCGGGTCCGTGCGAGCGGGCCGCTGCCCTCCCCGCGACCTTGGCGCCCGCCCCGCCCGGGGCCCGGAGGCAGCCGGGGCCTTTCCGGCCCCAGCCCAGCGGCGGGGGCAAAGGGGGCCGCGCCGAGCCGAGCGGCTGTTGCAGGGCCCCTGGGGCCTCACTGTGGCTTTCTGTCCAACCCAGGAAGATCCTGCCGTCCTCCGCTGGGCCCATGCTAGGACGCACAATGTCTATCCTACTTTCCGCCCGACGCCCAAGACGTCCTTTCTAGGAGTTGTTTTTGGTCTAGGCCCTATCTTCTTCTGGATTGCCGTCTTCAAAATTGATCGGGTAAGTCAGTCGACACTGAGGGTCAGTGAACACCAAGTTGTAAAATGTACATCTGCCTGGAGACTTAATTGGTGGGATCCTCTTGCAGCTGAGAATGATTAATAAAGTAATGAGGGAGGGAAGGCTGATGCTGAGCCTACTGTCTCAAATCCTTATAACTGGTTGCAAAGTTATGTTGTGCTTAGAGCCCTATATCATACCCTTAGGTACGGCCAGTCACAGTTTCACCAGTCAGGATGTTTTGCTACAGTAGAGCTCTCTGTAGCACTGACAGTGTAAAGTAATAATAAGAGACTATTTTCAGCTGTTGACATGCAGTAACTGCACTTTAAAATAAATAACGAGTTTATGGATGACGGGCCCAGCAGTGTGTCTGAGAATTGCTTGACCATTTCTCTCATCTCATGAAGCAAATGGGGAGGAGTACTTATGCTGGTTGCGGTGCGTGATCTCAACTGGATGATTAAGATTTGGGAAGGTTTATCTTGCTTCTGTTCTAATTCCTGAAATACAGGTGTCAGAATCTGAGCAATGATAGATCATTCTGAAAAAAAACCTCAGCTATGTACACACATAAGAAGATGCTAGGTGACTGGCAGACAGTGGCTGTTTTCACTAGTGAATTTGTGGCTGTTGTAAAACACTTTTGTTTCCCTTTTTTGCACAAAAGAGCATTTTTAGATCAAGTAATAAACAGAGAAGCACAAACAACAGTTAAAGTTAATAGAGTATTTGTAGGGAATGTTGTTTTCAAGGATGAATCGAAAATACAGGTTTTAGGAAACACACAGAGCATATTGATATAAATGTTTTTGAGACTTCAACATCTCTGCAGTATTTTTTCATGCTGGTTTTGTTTGGTATGTGAAGCCACACTTGGGCTTAGCCATGTAGTGTGGCTTACCATGTGAGTGCTTGAAAATAAACCTGTGCCTGGGAATATTTAAGCTGAAGTCTTTAATGTAGTCTCCAGGAGAATTTGTTTTTATTTATTCCAGCTCCTTCACTGATGTTTGGGGATTTTTCTTGGTTTTCTGGTAGTATATAAAGCACCATAGCTATTATACTCTTTTCTCTGAGGATTGTTTGTTTTGTGTCTGGGAAAGCAAGAGATAAATTGCTAAATCTTAAGTCTTCTAGTTTTATCCAGCAGAACGCAACTGGGTAGTATCTGCATTGTCGGTGTACCATAACAATACCTGTCAGAAAGATACATGGCTGCAGAGTGAGGTACAAATGGGCTGAAAGTGAACATGGGCACATTTGGGCAAGTTACTAAGTTTCTCCATAGTTAGAGATCTAAACTGGATTGTTTTCAGCCAGAAGGAGGAGGTAGAAACTAAGTGTATAAATTAACTGTGACGCAGCTGGTCTTTGTTGTCCTCTGAGAGTGGCTATATGGGCAGAGGTCAATCTGAGCATGTCTTCTGTAGCTGGTAGGTGAAGCTAAATGCCTTGCCCTTTTTTTACTTTTTTTAACCACAACAGCTGTTACCAGAGTTTGTGCTTACAGAATCATTTAGTTTGGAAAAGAGATCATGTGGTGCTATCTTTCTATAGTCCATGCTGAAATACTGGAATGACTTTTATCCCAGGCTGATGGGAACTTTAATAGTATAACAGTGATTGTTCTTTTTCTTCCACAGGATCATAAAGAGAAGCTTATCCAAGAAGGTAAATACAACCGACCGTTCAGTATGTTTTAAGTTCCTGGAATTGCAGTGCTGATCGTGAAATATAAATAAAATAAGATGTATTGTGTGCTGATGTTTCTTCTTCATAAGAATAAATCTGAATTGCTCGTTGGTTGTTTTGCATCTTTAGCAATTATGGAAAGTGCAGAAATGCAGGATCTTCATTTCCCTATCTATCTGTGTTAGATATAGTGTCCTGAATTCAACCAGTGGGCTACTTTGGCCTACACGCAAAGGCTTCTTACCGTGGAAGTTGCTGCTGTCAGAGCAGCACAGGCTGAAGTTCAAAATTAGGCTAAAATGTTAAGCAAGTCCAAAGCAGTTAAGTTTCCTGCAGAACTACTGCTTGCTTCCCTACTAGGTATTTCTTCCTGGTGTCAGTTTGACTACAGAGTTTGCCTTAATTGGATAATAGGCAAGTCCTGTGATATGTTTTTAATAATTTTAGGAGCCTGCCTGCTCTCAATAAGTTAATTTTTCTTTTCCATAATAATAAAATACAAACCTAAACCATATATTTGTGTAGTGCAGTAACCTTCTGGATAGAATCACTGCACCAGCCTTGGAAAGAGTGAGTGAGCTGAATGTTGGCATGCTATAGGAGAGTAGCATTTCTACTGATTCTGTGATTCCTGTGAGTGGGAGAGAAGTAAAAAGATAAGGATTTTTATTTTTGACACTGATTCCCTTACAATATAGGAGAATTCAATTTCACCCTTGCGAATGGGCCATGATAAAAGGCCTCACCAAGCATAACTGAACCTTCTGCCTGCAACGGTGCTTCTCTGCTTATTCTTGCAAGAACACAAGCCTTTTCTGCCCAGGTCAACTGGTGTAGGGGGCTCCGGAATTGTTACTGACAAAGTACTGAAATATGAGTGCAAGGAAAAGGTTTCCAATTCACGCTTGAATTTTCACAGAGCTTGCAGGTGCCATCATGATCCAAACAACAACCCTCATTCTTCAGACATTGTATGGAAGCGGTTTCTTCTGAAATGCTGAGGTCCGTTCCAAAAGCGCGGGCTGACACAAAAGCTGAAATCTTCCCTCTGCCTGCTGGGGAGGCAGCCTATGGGAAGTCAGCAAAAGCAGCTCTTCAAAGTACCTCACCTGCATGATTAGGATGTGAATATGGGCCATTTGCAGTACCTCTCTGAGTGAGGTGATGAGCTTTTTCATGTAATCGTATAGAGTGGTTGAGGTTGAAAGGGACCTTGAGGTCATCTGGTCCCATACCTGCTCAAGCGTGGCTGCACAGGACCATGTCCAGAGGGTTTCTGAGTCTCCAAGGATGGAGACTCCACAACTTCTCTGGGCAACCTGTGCTAGTGCTTGGTCACCCTCACAGTAAAAATGTGTTTCCTGACAGTTTATTTTTTCAGAATGGAGGAAAAAAAAAAAAAAAAAACCCAAACCACCATAAACCAGATCTCTGTTGTAGTTCTTCCCTTTCCTGCCTAGGTCATGAAATGTTCAGGCTGTGGGGAGCTGGGCACTCATGCTGCACGCAGCAGCTGTGCAAGGCTGTGGCCTGCTTTTGCAATCCCATGTGTGCTCCCACCAACCCTCTTGCACCTGTGGCTGCAGTTTGTTCTTCTGCTAGCTTAACCAAAGCAAACCCAGATTATTCTCTTCAGAGCAGCTTCTAAAAGGCTGTCACAAATGATATTACAAGATACGGCTGTGGGTCAGTGCAGAGAGACATCAGTGCACGGAGAAAGTGGTATTTAGGGAAAGAAATAATTGCTTGTCTGAGTATGCTAAATTAACTATCTTCCTGCTGCCACAAACTAATTTGATCTCCCAGGACCCATTTCCTCAGCTAATTGGAACTTGAGTTGCCACAGGTGTAAATTCTCCCTTGCAGCTTTATTTGTTTCAGGCCAGCTGAGCAAATGGTTAGGGATGGGTTGTAGATGAGTGCAGCGCTTCCAGCCTTCTAGGCCAGCCTCGGATTGATTCTCGCAGCACTTAACACAGCCCTTCCCTCTGCAGACAAGAGTGTCTGATGCTAGAGTCCCTGCAGATTTGAGCATGGTGCTTGGGGAAAGACTGCCCTACTTTTTTTTTTTTCCTCTCATTATTTGCAGAGTTCTCCGAGCTGTTTTCTTGCAAGGAGCGAGTGTGCTGTGCTGCTGGAGGTGGGGCTGGTGGTTTGAGGCAGTGGTGCTGGGTACAGAGAGGGAGGAAAGGGGAGTTTCCCTTCAGAAATGTAGGGTGAAGACAGGGGAGTGAATGTGCCTCTTGGAATTTTGCCCTTGACTGATGTGTTACCACCCGTATCTGCCTCAGTGATGAGTCTATAGCAAGGGAAACTCAAGCCTGCAGGTCACTGGATGATAAATTAGATCCCAATCAGAAAACAAGCTTTTCCCCTCTACCTGCAAAACATTTAGACCTCGCTTATTTCTGGATCAGTCTGATTAAATCAGCTTCTCTGACAAATTGATTCTCCTGAATGTCCTTTTCTGAGCTGGCTATTTTAGAGTAAACATATCCCTGTAGATTTTATAATATAATACTTTGCTCAAAGCCGATGCTTTTTTTTTTTCCCCCCAAGGACCTAGTGCAGATCCAAAACTGATGATGGATGTAACTGACTGAAGTTGGGTGTCACAGCTCTACATTGCTTTCTCTTTTGGAAAATTGAGGATTGTTTTCTTGGGAAGTAAGAAACATAGATCCTGAGAGCTCCAAGCTTAGTAACTGCTTCATGTGGGTACGTGCTGAAGTGCAGGCCTGAGGTTTGGGGTGCCTGGGTTGTGTTCCTGGTTCCCACCCTACTTGGGGTTTCACTTTTTGCTTCCACCCGGTGGAACCCACCGCCTGAGGGTGAGGCTTGCATACTCCAATGAATTTTGAGGTCCTTCACAATGTTGTCTGCACTCGAGCTTTCTTCCATGTACCTTCCCAGGACTAAATGCCTGGACTGGCCAGACAAGCCCTTTCCCATTTTCTATGCTGTGAATTGGCACTTGACTAGGGAGACAATTTGTCAAGTGCTGACAAGTTGATGTTGAAGGATGGGAAGAGCATGGGATTGGAAAGGAAACTTTCCCTTACTTAGCAGTGAAGTGCTTTGCATTCTCCAACCTTTTCTAATTTGCAGCCTACTTTTCTGACAAGCAAGTTTTCCCTTGGCAGCCCTCCACACAGCAGCAGGTTGAAGTGGCCTGCTCTGAAAAGAGGCTTAGAACTGGTAGTGCCTTCAGCTCTGTTTGTAAAGCTCTTTTCCTACAGACAGTACAAAATACTTTGTTGATCCTTAGCTTCTCCCTGTGAAAGACACGCGGGGCTGTATTTTCAGGAGGCCCTGTGAGCGGGGGCTGGCTGTCACCTTGCATCGCACAAGGTGCAGCATTTATGCCGACTACATGTGGTGGGAGCCACGCAAGTACTTCAGCTTCAGCGTGTCACCAGGAAAGCTTTAATTGGCTACTTGAAAGTTAAGAATAATGGTAGTTTTCTACTTAATTTCCCAAGTTACAGAGAGATGATCATTTTCGTGGCTCGGTGGCTGCTGGAAATGCCATTCTGTGCTGGAGCACGCTGCGTTGTCTGAGTTGACTGTGCCAGCACACGTAGGTATGCTGGATTTCCCAGCCTTCACTCACATACTGCAAGCAACAAATACTTCTCTTTACTTGCATTTAGGGTTGAAATGGCTTTTCAGAGGTTCCCAGCACTTATAGTAGTTTTTATCTAGGCGGTTGGAGGTCTGGAGGCCCCATTTGGTGACAGCAAGACTGAGGGACGATTCGAACATGAAGGCCTGTTGGGAAGAGGGAAGGTAGGTTAGGGCAGGAGAGCGAGAGTCTAAATCCAGGCAAGGTGGCTTTGCTCTACCACAAACAGGAGTTGCACGCATGGTCCAGCACTGCCACGTTCTGCCTCCGGCCTGAGCAGCCCAGAGGGAGAAAGCTCTTCAGAGCTGGCATTGCAACGTTGGTATTAACCAGGTCTGAGGAGTGACTTTGGAGTCCCTGAATGCCCAGGAAAGCCAGGTTGTTCCAAAAGCTCTAGTTCAAGATCTGTTGATGATCATCATTAGATTTTAGGGAGTGGAGAAAGGAGGACAATCAGGGGGGTTTGCTCCTTTGTCCATAGTCTAAGACAAAAATTAAATTAATCAGTGTGAAAATTCCCAGCTTCCTGCTCAGGCAACAATTTATGTGGGCAGATGATAAAATCTGCCTGGCATCACACATCTCCAGGAGAGCTTCTGGGAGTTGAAGGGTGCTGATCAGTGAGGGATGTGACTGCTGCAGCGGTTTGGTCCGAGTACTTTCCCAACTTGCCAACGAGAAGCTAGGCTGTACTTTGAGAGTGGCACAGTGGCATTATGCCACGCTGCATTCAAAACCTTGCTAGCTCCCTTGGTTCCTTACCATGGTCCCTTCTGCCACCCTCTCAGGCTCCAGCTTGGCTTTGCTCGCCTTCTCAAAACAGTCAGCGTCCGGCCCATGAGGCGTCATCATACTGTGCAAGCTGGCCCCCCCAGGCTGGAAGCCTTCTTCCTTTGCTTCATAGTGGCCTTTGATGAGCCCCATGAACTCGCTCATGCAGTTCCCTGCAGGAGGCATAGAGAAGAGGTTGCAGCACGGTGTGACTGGGAGGCATCAACAGCTAGGCTGTCAGCTCCTTGAAACCCCCTAGCTAAGCTGGGCCGGGCAGTGAGTGGAGTGGAGGTTCCTAAGCAGGGTATCGCATGAGAGGGCGTCGAGGATCCTACACGTGATGCCTGCAAAGCTGTACAGGTTTTATTCCACCCTTAATTACCTGGATTCAGAAACAGAGCTCCCTAATGAAGGTGCGCTGATGTTGGTAGACCTGGGCTTTTCCTACCCCCTCGAGCTGTGTAAGTACCACGCCTGCATACGGACTGCACGGTGTAACCTGATATTTACAGACTTGGATTAGAGAATTTAAAGCATTGGAAAGGAAGTGCTGTATAATCATCCCTGTGTTACAGGAACAAAATGCTTGACCATCAGTCTGGTGAGAGAGCCTCTCTGCTGTCCCAGGTTATAAGCATGGAATAATTTTGTTCAATATTCTACCACTTCC